GGCTGAATAAGTTATAATCCCGAATCTTTCGAAATGCCCCGATGAAATTATCCTTGAAAGTGTTGCTATATTCATCGTCATTCAGGATAGTGGTGTTGGCATTGGAAATCTCTTTAGCGCAGGCTCCGTTCGGATCGGGGAAGTCGGGGCCGTAATCGAAATTTAGGTCGTCATGATAGATGCAGCTTTTAACAACAGGAACCCAACCAACTTCATTGGCTCCCATGCTCATAGTTGCGAATCTTGGCGCATAACGGTCGTTGACCTGGTTCAGTTGTCCGTCAATGGCATCGAATTTACTGCCAGAGCAGGCAGGAAATTGAAGGTAAGGACATTTGTTCGCTGCCCAGCTGGTATCATCGTCATTCTTCAATTGGACGGAGTAGGCGTCGACAATTCGTCGGCAGGCATTGATTGCTTTTTGATCACCCTGATCATAATCAAGATTTCCATTTGGCCAGTTGTTATACGTGACCCTGAAGACAATAAGCTATTTATACACTTGGTATAATGGTATACGACATACCCTGACGCATAGGAGTCCCCTAGTGCCACCCAAGAAACTACATCTTCCGCTGGAGTTCCGTCGTTGCAGGGCGTATTCGGCGCCCATAGTCGCACATCTGGACCTGATGTGTTTGTTGGACCTAACGCAGTCCCAGGTGCAAGAGCTGATTCACCGTCCGGTGCCGGCGCAATGGGATTTGAATGTGTTTTATCAATGAGAAAAGACAGTAACAGGGCCAGCATCGAACTGGTAGTAGACATTGTAATCATGATGGAAAGCTTTGTTGTTTCGAACGGACGATATTCATCCAAGGCAACGACTCACCAAGATATATTGATCGTTCCCGATCCCTTAACCTGAAAGCACTTGATCAATTCTTCGACACTTGGAGTACGGCGTAGTCACTGCGGAACCGAACAGGTTTGCGGAGTGTTTTGCTTTGGACAAGAATAGTCTTGTGGAATTCCCAGGCGATTGCTTGGTGTGTAGGAGACTGACCAAACGTGAAATTTGAGCAGCATGGCATTGGCAGGTTAGAAGGAGTAGCTTGAAACATGAGGAACCGCAGCAAATGCACTGCATGAAGGATTGCACCCAAGCATAATCCGAGTTTTGAATTAGAAACATGTTTATTGTGGTAAGGGGGGAATCACAGAAAGAAGCATGATGCATCAGAGAGCTGTCTGTTTCGCCATTTCCCATTCGCTGTGTTTCGCGGTGACGAGGATAGCTTGTGCAGCTTCGAAATTCCCACTTCCTGTCTGAACGCCCGCACAGCCGTGCAATGGGTTACTGAATCCATCACACAATGGATAACAAGGAACTCTTCCTCTTGGGGTCGCAGTATTAGTCCTGCCTGCTTTAAAAGGTTTCTCGGCAGAAGCTCGGAGCGATCGCGGAATTACTCGTATTGCCCCCCAAACCGCCACTCCCCCCAAACCGCCAGCCGCTAAGCCTAATTGGGAGCGCTAATAAATGATTTATCAATGCCACTATTCAATGCCTCCATTCCATTGCATTACATGGCCATGTGGCCCAATTGGAGCTCTACAAGAGGCCCGGAGGCAGTGGTGGAAGAGGCCCTGCTATTCAGACAAGCCATATCTCATGTGGTTGGTGCAGCACATCCATCCGAATCCTCGAATACATAACTCTGCTTGCGATATCATATTCCAATTCGAACTCGAAATCAGGCCTGAAAACGCGATTGCAATGCTTTCCTCGGCCTGCACCTCCTTCTTCATTAGGCATAGCGCCTATTCAAGGAGTCGCCGTGGCTTCCTGATAATTCGACCTCCCTGTATGGCCACTGGATTGGGCGATAGCTCTCGCATAAGGACTGGCTGCTCCGGCCTCGCTAATGTATCTGATATGTGTGCTCGATGAGGTATAGCTGCAGTTATTCAGGGTGCTCTTGGTGTTACTAGGGGTCGCATTGGAAGCCTTTCCCATCTATATTGTACGTATCCTAGTCTTCTACCTTGTACTGCTGCTTCGTTGTATAGTAGAGCTCGAACTAATAAGCTATCGTTTCAGGGTCACTGGCGATGTTGTTCCTGTCTTTATCCATAGGCGAAAGGAATTTCGTTTTTAGATCAGGATGGCGATTGAAGAACTTCTCAACCCAGTAATTGCCTAGGTCTTTTATATAACCTCTCTTTCGAAGTATCTGCTAGGCTATAGACCGCAATTGCATGACCCGGCCACCCCCATTTTCCGAGTTATATTATCCATCTGGCGATTACGGCTTCTTCTGCTGGTGATAGTAATTGTTACTCCTGGCTGACTTCATTCCTTGATCTGGCTCCTTTGATTCGATCTCGTAGAGTAGTCCGACTGATTCGGAACCGAGTAGCGATCTGGCAAGTCGATTCGGCTTATAGTGTTCCAATGGTTTCGTGATAATAGTTTATAGCCAACAGGATCCTTTACTCTTTCGGGAGCTCCAGAGGGCCTATCTAGAGGTCTTCTTGCTCTAGTAGAAGGTCGGCAGGGCCGTCAGAGCCGTGGAGCGTTGATATAGCCATTACGGTGGCATGCAATGGGTGGAATGGAGGAGTTTGAGTATGATTTTCGACATACCATTTGATAGTTTGCCTAATTAGGTTTAGCGGCTGGCGGTTTGGGGGGGGACTGGCGGTTGGGGGGGCAATACGAGTAAAGCTCTACAGCCAATTGCGCCACTTAGTCAGCCTCCGAGCGCTCAAGTAGTTGAAACAACAGCTGAATGGTGCTGCGCTCGAATCCTCCGAAGGATTTTTAGTGAAACTTATGCACCGCCGCTGAGCCCAGCAGGCTGCAGGCTGTGCGCCTTGCTGAATCCGCATGGAAGGATTCTTGCGTGCCTCTGTGTTTCTCAGCATCACAAACCTCCTCTGTTCATCCGCCACTCCGGCTTGGTCTATATCTGCATTGCTGTCTGCGGAACACCACCAACAGAAGCGACCGGCGCCCGGTTCAAGACCTCGGACTTCTGCAGTAATAACCCTCTCTGTATTGTTATCTGTATTGCTGTCACATTAGCTGTGACGCTGTCCTTATTATTCTTGCTCGCGCAGTGAGGGTCTTGCTATTTCTCATGCTGCCATTCTCACGGAATCTTTCTTGATATCGTCCTTCTGTAACTGCTCAGTCTAAACTCGAGCCTTCAACAACATGGACCCGAGCACCTCTACCCCGGAAGCCGCCGCCATCGAAACGCCAGCGGTTCCGCGAAAGTGGAGGTCGCCACAATGGCTTCGCTCATGTTTACTTATCGCCAGCATGGTAGTCTTCTTCATCGTCGTGGCTTTTATCCTCTTGTTTAATATCGATTTACGTAATAAAGGTTCGAGCACGCACGGCGGGATCGTGGGTTCACAGACGGCACCTGGGGTTGGATTTGACCTTACACCTTCGTATGGGACAGTCGCGATTCGCTTTCATAATGGATCAACCGTCAACGTGGCGAAGATAGACGCAGATGAAGACTACCAGGAAATGATGAGACGATTTTCTGTGGGAGGCCAAAAATTGTAAGAATCTTCAAAGCCTCGCCTGTTTACGTGGACTGACAGCACCTCCAGCGACAGCATGTGGCAAGACAATTGCGGTCGTATGTTTGACTACAGCCTGGACACGCTCTGGAAAATGCTCCGAAAACGACTCGGTCTTCCGTCAACCCAAGACGTGGCACGCATGAGTAGACTGATGGCCAAACTGCAAACCGCTACAGGACAGTACCTTGGTGAACCATTCCCTGCTGCCGTAATAGCGACTCCCATGTTTCCAACCCTCTGCAAAGACGACGTGACCGAAGCCGCCCAACTCAACCGCATAACAGCTGTGAGCAACCTAAAACTCTTCACCCAACCCCGCGAGCTCTCTGCCGTCTTCGCGGGCCTAGGCTTCGGCATCTGCGCCAATTACACCAACACCAAAGCCTGCAACGCCGCAGAAGACGGCCTTCCCCACATCGAAACCCTGCTCGTCTCCCTCAGCAACGCCACCCTCTTCGCACGCCGCTACGCCATGCGCCGCGCCCTTACCGGCTACGAGCCCGAAACCTCCCTGCTCGTCAACTACGACCTCGGTACCGACGCCCTCCCCAGCACGGACGACGAACCACGCAAGCAAGAATACTGGTCCAGGGTCGAAGGCCGCATCATCCAGCTCTGCCTCCGGGACCCGGGTGTGCCCACCAGGCGCCCTTTCGACAAAGTCCTGCTGATTGGCGAAAGCGCCGCCCCTGACGCGGACAAGGTGGACTTGATCAGCACTGTGCAGCGGGCCTTGCGATACTTGCAAGGTGATGCTTTGCCGGAATTCTACGCCGATGAGCCGGTCTATATTGCTGCGAGGGGGGCGGCGGAGTTTGCGAAGCGGGCTCAAGAGACGGCTGGCATGGTGGATGATGATGATGATGATGATGATGATGATGATGATGATGATGATGATGATGATGATGATGATGATGATGATGATGATGATGATGATGATGATGATGATGATGATGATGGTGATGGTGATGGTGGTGGAGAAGGTGGGGAGCTTTGATGGTTTGCGTTTTGCCTGGGATGTTTGTTTATGTTTGTACGACACCCGTATAGAAATCTAGTCATGAGAGCCAATGAAATGAAAATTATTTAAGGAGCTGCGTGTCTGTATCTGTATTGTTGGGACTTTCTCCATCCAAGCCGGTTGAATAACCACCACCACCACCACCTCCTCCTCCTCCTCCTCCTCCTGCGCAGCAGATCGTGATATATGGGTTTTCTGCCCGTAGAGCCCCCGCGGGGATGGGCTAATTCACCCAGGCTCGCGCGAGCGTAAAGCGGCGCTCACCCTAGGCTCGGAGGAGGGTGAGCCCGGGGCAGATTTTTGTCACCTTGGCATCTCAAGGCGACAAAAATCTGCCCTCAGCTCACTTTAGTAATATTCACAGAATATTATAGGCACTTACTTTTATATAAACTAATAAGGTGCCTCATATATACTATATATACGGAGTGCCTCTATGGCTTAATGGTAAAGCGCGTCACGTAAGTAGGATCGGAACGTCGTTTCGCCTAGTCGCTGATGGCCGTAAAAGTAGTATATCCAAATCGAAACATGACGAGATTCTCGGTTCGATTCCGAGTGGGTGAGTAAATTCATATCGATTATCTTGAAATTCGATTAATTGATTGGTAGAGGCAAAGCCATACAACCAAAACTTTTTTTGGATCGCTGATTCAAATATGTTTTCCCACATCTTAGATAATATTTGAAGTCTCCCACAACGGAGTGGTTTTCGTCTGGGTGCTGGGGGCGTACCCCTTCAAAGATACTTTACAAACGCACCGACATACGTCTTCAGTCATCTATTACGGGCCTGGCCGGGGGTCGGGGCCGTATACTATATGTAGTGGTTTAGGGACTAGATCTGCGGATCTAGTTTGTGCTCTTTGCCATCATAGTGCAGCGGTATGCGCCAAGCACCTAGCCCTTGGGCCGCACCGTGACAATCTCATCTGTCTGCTGTGGTTAACATTTCCAAGGGCTTCTAGACTCAGTTCAGATAGTAAGGCACTGTATTATTCACAATGAAGTGTTGTCATATTTATATGCATTGAAATCCGCATTGAACACCTGCCTTTGACTATGGCGTGCGATACTAAATGCCTGAACAGCGCTCCTCTCGACCTGGGACCACCCCTCCTACCGCCCCCCTAGCAACCTGCGCGGAAGAGCAATCGTCCCCCCAAGCCGGTGCGATTCGCTGACGACCAGCCGGAGAACAGTACTGCCGCCAGTGGGAATGGTGGAGGCAAAAAGAAGGTAGGGCGCTAGGCGCCCCCCAAGCCCATACGAAAAACCTAGGGTCCACCGTTAGCAAGTCAGCGACTTACTATGAGTTAGGCCCTCAAAAAGGCTGAGAAGAAGAAAGCTGGTCAGGAGAAGCGAAGATAGACTCTTCTCTAGCAGGCTGCTGCGGCGGAGTGAAGGGAAGTGGCGGTACTCAGGGAACAAGGCTATGAAGGTAGACTAAGACCGGCAGAAGGAGAAGGAGAAGCAGTTAATCAAGCTAGTTAGGGGGCTGGACAACAAGATAATAGGGATAGTTTACCCTCAACGGATCCAGAAGATAGAAGATTACGAGAAGAAGAAGATAACCTGGAAGAATGGCAGGAAAATCCATATACTTATTCTGTCAGAGCCTCCTTAATAATGTAGACTAAGGAATAAGGGAATAGGGTTAAATGGACGAATGCTATTGGAGAAGATGATTGGCTGAAGGATAATTTCAATACGGACTTTCTACGCCTAGAGCTTGACAATGCTAGAGACAGTGTTCATGCAGTAGGCGACTATGTTGCTATTACTGCAAAGATTAAGTCCGCATGCAGAGGATTCAGTAGATCTATAGTCCCATACATCTGGATCCTTTTCTCCCATTTATAGACGGTGTTCGGGTGGTAGTAGACCTTCTTAGCTACAGCGGTAGGCTTCCAATGGTTGCGTATAAGCCCATCCGCATAAGCCTTGGAGGCAGTATCAATCATATATGTGGGCATGGCGGTGAGGTAGGGAGGGGGGCGGTGGGGGCGTGTCGAGACTGCAACACTATGGATTAGCCTATGAATAGTAACCAAGGCTTCATATTTACTCAATTGGGACGGCAGAATGGCTTATATGTCGATATATGGTTGATTGTCGTGTTTTGCATGTAAATTTGTATGGGGGATGCAATGGATTGGAATGCCAAGAAATCCATAAAATCATGAATACGCCTTTTGTCATTTTCGCACGATCTCTCCACTCCCATGATGTCTCGCTTCGAGCTTTTGGCAATACCTTCGTATCTCTCTGAATGCAGCCGCTCATTATATCTATCTTCCGATAACATACCACTTTGAATATTTTGTTTAAATTTGATAAGCCTTGGACTTTGAATTATAACACTTCTTTCAGCTACTTTTTTCCTGCAACATCTATCTTCATCGGGGTCTCCGTCATCGACGATAGATCCAGGTTCTCCAGGATGCCACCTGATGATGAGGAACGTCACCACATTAAGTCACGCACTGCTCCGATACCGGGTCGAAAGCCATATCCGTACGGACTCGATATAAAAGAGTGGTCGCCTATCAGAGTGGATAATAACGATCCATGGAGAATGGGCATCATAGACGATCCTGGCTCATCAGATGTAATGTCTTGTTGACGTAGGCCGTCCTTCAAATGCGCGCTGCTAATATCAAGTCAGGAATGGGAGATCTGCCATGAACAGGAAGAGTCCGCGAAATGGAACCTTGGGAATGACATTCCAATTGCCAGGCACCTGCCTGCTACTAAACAAACGAGTCTCGCGAGGCGCTCTGATCCATTGCATCCTTTGCCGGTGGCTGAAAAGGCATTGGCGCCTACATTCCCGACGCGGCTACCTTCAGTGATGGGAAGCACACCATGGCGCCAAAGGATGTTGATCCAGACACCATTTTGTCCAACATGCTCAATATTGTGTTCAGAGACGAGACCCATTTTTCGGAGTACGTGCAGGTTCGCGAAATGTTCGGGCAAGAAGGGATCTTCCGTCTCTTGAAAAAAGCTGGGAGGGATTCAGTGATGAAAGCTTGTCAAGAAGGCCCTTGGGACTTCCACAGGTATGACTGCGCTCGATATCTGCTCTTGCTGGTAATGAGTTCATGATGTGTAGCTTGGCGGGTATTGGGGGCATCATGAACAAAGGTCAAGCCGGGGTATACCTTCACGTAATCTCGCTCAAGGAAAATGTGTCCAAACGGTGGCTTTACGTCGGTCAGGCAAAGGACTTGGACCATAGGACAAGAAAGCAGCACTCCAGTCCCAGATACCGGCAAACCCATCCTAGCCTTCACTATTCTGTATTTCAGCCCGGAATCATGAACGACTTCTTTGTTTTGATCTCTGAAGCTCCTCCAGGGGTGAATCCAAAGATCGATTGGCTGCTTCTCAATCTCATGGAGATGTGGGGATCATTAGTCTTCCAGACGCTCCGTGGAAATGACCTTTTGGAGTGGCTACCGGCTGGGGTCCATCTTCCTAGTCCAGGGCAGCACCTTAACATTGCACTTCCCGTTCGGCAGAGCAATGTAGCAGGAAACCCTCTCGACCATGCCATGCAGCTCGAGGGCTTTGCGCAATTGCGCTTCTCAGACGACTTGACTAAGCGGCAACATTTCTGGTCTGTTGTGAAGTCTTGGAACGGATCTGCGGAACTCACCGGACCCGGCCGTCAGAGCGTATTATTGGGATCGCATCAAATTAAGGGGCATGAAGCCTTCTGCATACTATGCTGAAGGCGTTGCTCAAATTCGATCCTTTCACTATGGACATGTGTTGAACATATTTGGCTACCCCGTCCATATCCTAGCTGGTATAGAATGCACCGGTGTGAAAGAAGCAAAAGTTTTCATGCTTCTGAGCGAAGGAGACAAGCGACACCCTCAATGCCATGCCAGTCGAGCCCTTGATAGCGACCCTGCCAAACGTTTCGCTCTCAGGCTCGAATTAATCAATCGACATAACGAGATTGAAAAGCACTGGCTTTATTGCCAGGGCGAGCGTGCCGTGATGAGCGTCAATACCATAGTTGATAGATTTGAGGAGGTTGACAAGGCAATCATCAAACTCACGCCGCGTCGATCGTACTGGAATGCCCAGGGTAAGATATCTTTCACGTCGGCCGTGAATGATGCTGGCGAGGCAGGCGAAAACACTCGGGGGAAGGTCTTAAACGAATGACAGAGTGGCAAGAGCGGCGAGGACCAAATTGCCTCTCCAGCTTCGTCAGCCTCTCCCAGTGCCATTGCTGGAAAAGTATTGTTCGAAATCGTGTAGAGCGTGCCTTTTTCACTTTGAGAACGAGACCGGATGCACATTATTCTTCAAGTCGGGCGGAAAATTGACGGAAATTATTGGCTCAGCCTGTAGACCAGCTTACGGGTAGGCATATGCCACGTTCTATAGCGGTGTAAATGCTGGTGGCAAGCGGTGTGAATTCTCAGGTGGCAGCTCCATCATAACAGTAACTCGTCCATATCGACAGCAGCCATCGAGCAGAGTCATCCACCAGGGTTGCTATGATCGAAATATTGGAAAACAAAAAGACAGAAGTACTGTCGAAGCGGCGTCGATGCCGTTGGAGGTAGGACGCGTTGACTAAGTAAACGTTGACCCCCTTGGCTGGGCCTATTCTAGGGTCTGTATACGACGTAAGGATGATATTTCCTATACGAAGGAGTCGTCTGGCAGCGTTGTATCGCTAAACCCAGGCTCATAACCCTTTAGCATATTGAAGACGACTTGATTGATTCTTCGCTACAGTGGGACTGTGGGTTAGTGTGTCTCATGATCAGATGCGGTTTCAGCCATGCGCCATGACCATGGGCCATAGCGAGAGATCCGTGCTTCCTGAGAGCACTATTTGTATGAGCATCCCACCAGCAGTTGGCTCTTCAGTCGAGTTCATCTCTTTCAGAGCCATAGCAGTTCTTTCCCGCCCACCCGCACCTTATACATAGCCTATATATAGCCTATCTACACTCCAGGTCTATGCCGCCTAGGCATGGGAGTTTTCTAGCGCTGGGGCACCTGTTGTAGCCTTTCTAGGCCTGCTAGCCCTGGCGTTAGACCGCCCAAGCATCTATTTACATATCCACTTGTGCCGGTGTGTATAGCTTCAGGAGTGAGAACACTAACTACGGGATATTCATGCGCACCAGGCAGTAGGGCTGACTAGGGCTGAGAGGTGATTTATGCTAACGTACTACCTTCCACAGGACGCCCAAAACCGGAAGTCATAGCCTCAATTAGGATTAGCGGCGCCAGCCCTGGGAGTCAGTTTGAGAGGTTTTCCCAACCACTTTACTAAATGCCTTCCATACCATAGCAGTGGGCGTAGCCGGAAAAGACGATGAAACATGTGGAAGGGGCAGAGTTCACGAAGGGTAAGGGCGTCAGATCATGGCTTATGGCTAGTGCTGCGTGGAAATAGCACCTTCCTACATCGTACTGCTTCGAACATGGCTCTTGCCTCGGACAGCTTGCCGCACTATTCAGAGCGAATGGCCGCCCATCTGCATCTCAAACAACTAGAACAAAGTACCGCATATCTTTATCCAGTG